TCTGTAAATGTTCATTAAAATTAATAAAATAAAATTTTAAAAATATATGGCTAGAACAGGACATTGACAGAGAACTGCTAAAAGTTCAGGCTAGGCTAAAAGAAGGCATGGCTCTAGCCACAATGATAGCATTACTGACGTCAGATAGACCCTAACTGAAAGTAGAGAATAACAGAAGAATGTCTATCGGTGTTTTGTTGACTATGCAAAGGAATGTGACTATATGGATCATAATACACTATGGCTAAAACTGAAAAACGATAATTCCAGAACATTTAAGTATATGAAATCTATACCTGGATCCAGAAGCTATGATCTACACAGAGCAACGGAATATTTCATATTTAAAATCAAGAAAGGTGTGTGTCAGGGCTGTATCCTTTCTCCATACCTCTCCAATCTAGAAACTTGATGGAGGGTTGTAATGAGTTGAACCCAACTTGATAGCAGTAGATTTGGCTTTTACAGTTCATTTAAAAAGTGTAAAGATTCATAAATCAGCACAACAAATTTAGAGAAAGATGGATTACATATGAAGATTATTTAAAAGTAAGAACATACACACAAAAACAAAAGATTCCATTTAATATTTGCCATTACATGTTTTATTTTACATTTCTCAATCCATCTAAAGTTGCTGTTGTTATTGTTGTTGTTGCTGTTATGTGCCATCAAGTCTAGACCAACATATAACTCACCATCCAGTGGGTTTTCAGAGACTGTAAATTACACAGGAATAGAATGTTCACCTTTCTACCATGGAGAAACTTGTGTATTAGAACCACCAACTTTGAGTTGACAGCACAACTCTCTATACATGAGATACCAGAGCTCCTTCTATCTAAACAAAGGACTAATGGAAAAAAATTATCTTTAGGTAATTTTAGGTAAAAAATATCCTTAGGTTTTAATTTTTCAAATTTCTTTTTACAATGTGTTAGATGGAAGAAAGCAGAAAATGTTCAGAATTCATTATGAAATGTATGTGAACATATATTTAAAATTTTTCGGCATCAATGCCACTGTTATTTTCTTGTTTTGGCATCTGAAAACTTGTCTGTGTGCTCCAGAAAGTATGTATATTAAAAAGCAAAGGTCTACTCAAATAGACTCTGTATCTTGCTATACTTTTGAAAACTAGTAATAGGGCCATATTGTTCTTACCCAGAGATGTTAACAGAACTTTCCTATGACAAAAATGAAATTAACCTGAGAGCTATATATATTCTAAAGGTTAGACATTTCTAACCCCTCCTTCTCTGTGTTTTTACCAGGAGAACATATAACCAGCTCAATACATATCATACTCTTAAAATACAGCCATCAAAACTTGAAGAATCCAAATATGCCCACTCTTTTTCCCTTCTGACCCACTCTGTTGGAAAGGTCAGTAAGTTGATCAAACAAAATGGAGAAAGAGAAGCCTTTTGCTCATTCACCATTTAATAAGAGCTGACTCTGATTTTGTGTGTGTGTGTGTGTGTGTGTGTGTGTGTGTGAATAAACCATCACAAAAGGATAAATATTGCATAGTGCCACTGTTCCAGAACAGCACTGACATCAGGGTTGGGGTAAGACTGAGAAAAACTGGATAAATTACGTATACTGCATTGAAACAGATGAGGGAGAGACCAGTTTAAAAGCAGTATATGATTGAGTATTATGGTTATTACAAGAATGAAGGCTGCATAGTGGAGTATACTGGGCAGGGAGCGGGATTGTATACCAATGAAAGAATCTTTCTTTTACTTTTCAAAGAAAAGGGTGAACTGGGGGAGGAGGGGTAGGCAGGGAGAAAAATGCAACAATGAATGAATGGAAATCCAAAATCTCTGTAAATGTTCATTAAAATAAATAAAACAATTTTTTTTAAAAAGACTCTAGTTGTTTTTTTTTTAATTTTATTTTCATTTGCTTGGTTCCACAGTCAACACTCTTGGTACCAGCAGCCAGGAAATCAAGAGATAAATTGCATTGGGAAAGTCAGCTGTCAGGAACCTCTCAAGAGTACTGAAGAGCAA